GCTCCAAGTGGGTAGCAGTATGGCCCTCAGGCTCCTTGCTGGAGGGTGGAGGGAAGCAGAACTTGGTTGCACTTTCTGGCCTGAGGAAGCAGGACTGAGCTCCAATGTGATTGCTTTTCCAGGTCGTGTCTTATGCAAAGTTCCTGTACCCTACTAATGCCCTGGTTACACACAAGAATGACAGCCATGGCTTGCTGCCCCAGCCTCGGCCCAGCATCCCCCGGCCTCCACCAGGTTCAAGACACAAACCTGTGCCTACCAAGTCAACACCAGCTGGCACAGAACTAGGTAGTGTAGTCTAGGTGCCTTAGCCATGGCACAAGGGAGGCAGCAGCACTGGCTGGGCCAGGGACAGTGATGGGGCAGACAGCAGTATAAGCCACATCTGCACTGAGGCTTCTCAGAGGAAAAGGATTCCAGATAGTGTGGCCCTAGGCTCTGCCTGAATCGGGCAGAAGAAAGGATCAGTGTGGGAAGGGGGTTCTGTCCAGATGTCTCTTCTTATACTCAAGCCCTTGCCCTTGACCTGGAGTCCCTCTCTGACCTGGGAGCCTTGCTGTGATGTGATGCCTCTTCCTTGGGTGTGGTAGGGGAGGTGTGGCATGGGTTCTGATCAGGATCTAGGGTGTCAATAGCTGCCTCTGCTTACAGGAAACGATGGGGGAGATGCACTAGAATACAACCCCAACCTCCTGGATGACCCACAGTGGCCATGTGGGAAGCACAAGCGGGTACTTATCTTTGCTTCATACATGGTGAGTTCCGTAGCCCTAACATTGTTTAGGGTTCGGGGAATAAACTGTGAGCACCCTCCACACTCAGAAACCCAGAAGAGCCATTCCAGGGTGCCTTGTCCCCATCCAACACCAGCAGGTAGGGGGACAGGGCCATAGACAAGGACAATGTGCCCAAGCAAGATAGCCAGCCATGCTGGACAGTCTTCTGGGGTCAGCTTTGGATGCCTGGGCACATATGTACAGAGGGCAGACAAGCTGAGCCATTTTATCCTCAGAAATACCGGTACCTCTCTGAAGTCCCATACTCATGTCTGTAAACCCAGGCCACAAGGCATCCACTTTCAAGGCATCTAGGCTCCACCTACCTCTACTTCTGTTATAGACCACGGTTATAGAGTATGTGAAGCCTGCAGACCTCAAAAAGGACATGAACGAGACCTTCAGGGAGAAGTTCCCTCATATCAAACTGACATTGAGCAAAATTAGGAGGTAAGAAACGACCAGGCAGATACCCCTACCCAGCCACATAACCTGACCCTGGGCTTTCTCCTTGGAGAACAGAGTGTCTTTTCTGACAGCCCACAACACGTGGTATAGCCATAGAAGGGTGGCTGCTGCTTCGTCATAGTCTCAATGACCATAGATTTGCCCCAGGGACATGGCTCCCATCCCACCCACAGTTTAAAACGGGAGATGCGGAACCTGTCTGAAGAGTGCAGCTTGGAACCTGTGACCGTATCCATGGCCTACGTGTACTTTGAGAAGCTTGTACTGCAGGGCAAGCTCAACAAACAGAACCGCAAACTGTGTGCTGGCGCCTGTGTTCTGCTGGCTGCCAAGATCAGCAGTGACCTCCGCAAGAGTGAAGTAAAGCAGCTTATTGACGTGAGTGCAGAGGTGTGCACGCAGCACGAGCACCCTGTGCCAGGCACTGAACCTTAGGTGGGGACCACAGGTGGGGCTGAGCCACTCACCCTTTGCTTCCTTCACTGCAGAAGCTGGAGGAAAGATTCCGGTTCAACAGGAGAGATCTCATTGGATTTGAGTTCACTGTGCTTGTGGCTCTGGAACTGGCCCTGTACCTCCCTGAGAACCAAGTGTTACCTCACTACAGACGCCTCACCCAGCAGTTCTAGCCCCGAACAGTGCACCCTGCAGAGAGGCTGCTTGGTAGAAAGGCATGTAGCTTGGCTAGAACAGAGGCATCTAGTGTCCCATCCCTCCAATACTGCATCTGCCCCTCACAGCCCAAGGTGACTTTTCATTTCCTTGGAAAGAGACACCGCTTTCATTCAGAAGCACAACACACCTCAAGGTGCTTCTGAGAATTTTCCTGGAGTAAAGGAAGTGTGAGGCTTGGCTTGGTTTTCATGTGCCTGAGACCAGTCTGGTTTACATTGTGGTGAATCCTGAGGTCCAGCCTTTGCAACCTATCACAGATGTGAGACCATTCCTGTGGAGACCTAGGTATCCAGACCTGAACATGCTGATATTGCCAGTCACACTTATGCCATCTCCTGATACCCTGCCTCCTTTCCTGTCAAGGTAGAGGGGAAGGCAGATACCTTGACCCATTCTGATTTTATTCTTTGGACATTTGTCAAAGCATCTGTCACTGTGAAACCCCTATGCCATCACATATACAGCAGGGATTGGCTAAAACCACCCACGCCTCTTGCCAGAAACTTTTGCCTGCAGCATTGAACCTTTAAGACAACTGCTGACTTGAGGCTCTTGACTTTTCCTAAGCAATATTGTGGTGCAGAAAAGGTATAATTTGGGATTTGGTCCTGTTTAAGGTTTGCTGGTGTAACTCTGAAACCACACTTGACCTTCAGGCAGGAAGACACTGGCCCTGCCCCCTAACAGCAACGGACATGCCATCTAGGTCAACTTGCCTGTACACCCACTGTGCCATTGTCCCTTTGCTTTCTTAGGACTGTTGGCCTTCCCTGTAACCTGGTGAACCTGGTCACCAGCCTAGGCTCCCATAGTAGATACCAGACCTACTGCTAGCAGCTGCTCAGCTTCACAGCCTCACCACATCCCCAGCAATGCTCATGCCTCTCAGGCCTGGGACAGGAGAATCAGTAACAGCTTGAGCATGAAGGAACCTTGCTCATAGTGACAAACCAGTGTTTTATTCTGACCCTGCTTATGCTGGTATAAGCAAACCCATACCCCTAGACCATCTTGGGTGCAAGACAATGGTCCTGCAAAAATGTCATCTTCAAGGTAGTCCCATCATTTTGTTTAAAATGAACTTCCTAGACACTGCTTCAACTTACAAGCTACCCTTGGAGGACATACCCAGGCAGTTTCCTCTAGATGTATAGTTAATGTTAAAGCTGGTAAACAGCAGTAACTTAAGCTTGTATATTTATGTAGTAAGGTTTATTATTTACCAAGCTGGTCTGCTGGAAGTCCTCCCTGTCCTCTTCGGTGATGCCGAGAGCTGCTGCTGTGTGGTATAAAGCACTGCGCAACAAAACCAACCCTTAAACCAAATGATCCTGGCGACTGCGTCCAGAAACCTGAGCTATATCCGTGGTGTCCAGCTGGACTGTGACCCAATGCCACAGACCTGGTGCTGCGCCCTTAGCACCCAACAGTAGGCACAAGTGTTTGTGAGAGTATCTGACCTCAGAATGTCGTGTGTTGGGTAGGTTTTGAATGGTGTTAAAATGTTTTTGTTAAAGTAAAACTTGGTTTTGCAACATACGCTCTAGTTTGTTTCCTTTCAGATGAGTGTGCCACCCCTGTTCAGGTCACTGTAAAAACACCAGCCCTGCCCACATGCTAAAAGCAGACTCAACTGACAAAGGTACTTTCTCACTTTTATTTATGACAAATATTCCCAGATCTCTTCTGGTCAAAAGTTCCTAACAAAGGGGGGAAAAAAAAAAGGATATTAAAAGCCGTATCTCTTGGGAAATCCCAGGCCACTCAACCCCAATGTGATACCCCACCTCCACTTACTTTGAGACAATTCCATCAGCCTTAGCCAATCGGAGAATAGAGTCATCTGATTCACCCTTAAAATTAAAAATGAATCCCTGAATATCTCATAGAGCTCCCGGCTTGGCAGGACAGAGCATGTACTACCAGACCCAAAACTGTACCCACACCCAGAAGAGATAGAATGAGCTTTACATAAAGGAAGAACCAACCACCTAAATCTTCCTAGAGCAAGCACTCCGTGGTGTTGAGACCTAAGCAGGCAAGAGCAAACCTGTCCTGCCAGCCATTTATTCCAGAGTAAGGGACACCACCATCACAGCTCAAATGTCAACAGTACTGCAAGACAAAGGTCCACGTGGTAAAACTCACCATCCTTCGAATGGCCCCACAGATAGCATAGATTTTAAACTGGCCATTAAACCGGCCTGTGACCCTGTCAACCTGTATAGAGAAAAGGAGTTAGGAGATTCGACCCGACCCCACGCTTTAGGTTTAGCCTACTTATTAGGAAACCACCAATGCTTGGGAAGGCAGGCACTCATAAAGGCCTAGCTGCCTCCTTCCTTTCCCCCGGGAACAAGCCTCACCATCGGGTTCCCAGCTCACCTCGGCCACATTCATCTGGATGGATGCGTGGTCCTTGGCACCAATAATGCGGTTGCTCGCGGAGCTGATGGAAGGAAACAGTGCGTGTGGTGGGCCGCGAAAAGGAGAAAGTGGATGAAAAGGGGTGAGGAACGTACGCGTGGTGGGGCCGCGCGAACGGATAGGCAAGGACCTCAGATGCTTACCATTTCCGCGGCACGTACAGGTCCACGAACTCGCCGGCGTCGTTCTGCATGTCGAGGCCGTGCCTGCAGAGTCACCGCGCGAGCCATGAGGTCGGCCAGGCCCGCACTCGAGACTGCGGCCCCAGCCAGACCCATTCCCGATCGCCCGGGCCAGACGCCCGCGACCTCCCCAACCCGGACCACCCCGACCCGACTCGCGCACACAGCCCGCCGCGTGGCCTACCTGCTCACTAGACCAGCGGGAGCGCAGAAAGGAAGTGGCTCGTCCCCAGGCAGCGCTATTGGGCGGGAGGGGCGGTGCGTCGGTGAATGCTTCCGGGTCACGCTGCTTTTATCCACCGTCCCGTAGGCCAGTTTGTTGTCCTTTCTTCCGCTTCCGGTACAAGGAAGCCCCGGCTCTTCCGCACAGAGCTCGCACACTGGGGCCTGGCTCCACCCCAACCTAGGCGGGCTTCTTTCCTCGGGCTCCGCCCCCACCGCGGCATCCGCCTCCCTCCTGAGCCCCGCCCCTCCGCCCAGCGCCCGCTGTTCTCCACTTGCTTGGAGTTGGGTTTCGGGGCGCAACCTGTATTCGCGCCGGCCGCCCTCGAGGATAGGGAGGACGTCGGAGGAAGCCGGGTCGCCGCCGCCAGAGTTTCAGAGGAATGGCCGAGCCTGGCGGAGGAAGGCAGGGACCCGTTTCCGCTGTGCTGGGAATCCAGCTGCGGCGTCTCAGTCGAAACCACGGAGGCCAAGGTGGCGTCGGGACGGGAAGCCCAATCCTTGAGGTCGGGTCAAATGAGCGTTACCATAGGCTTTACGCTGCACATTCGTTCTCTTCAAGGACCTCCTCCCCACCTGCGAACTGTAAGTGCGTGCTCCGGTGCCCAGGCTCCGGCTCTCTCCCCAGGCCCTGCCCTACTCCTGCTCTGGCCGCCACACGATCGGTCCTAGGATTGTGAGTGTCTGGCCAGAGGGTGCACGCCTTTTAATCTCAGTACACTGTACACATAATAATAAATAAATAAATCTTTTAAAAAGGAGAAGGAAAGAAAATTCCCGGGCATTGGCCATAATACGCAGTCAGCCCCCCACGTTGAAGAGGCTACAAACCAGCCTGGACACAAGACTCCCAGTCTACACTGTTGACGACTTTCCTGTGACTACATTTCTTCGTATGGGGATTCACTTGTCTCACTTATATGTAGAACTGTGCTCCTGATGTCTCTGGGACTGGAGCCTCAGGCGTATACACCCAGTTAAATGATCTTAGGGAGAGCCCTCCCTGCCATATGCACCCTACATGGAGATCACCTTCCCAGGACTCTCATGGGGTCTGGTGAAACCGAAGCTGCACTTTCCTCCTCACACCTGGAAAGCAAGTAGTCATGTCGGAGCATTGAGTCTGGGATTTCCACTAGATCCTTAGTGTGCCTCAGAAGTGAGAACACCAAAGCCCCTTGGAAGGCCATGAGGCATGTGTTTATGTTGTAGCTTTGAGATCTGCAGCTGGTCTGGCTGCATCTGTGTATATTGAATTGAACCCTGAAGGCCTCCTTAGTGGCCAGAGATGGAGCAGCCAGAGAGCTAGTCAGGAGAGTGGCCAAGGGGGAACCCCAGAAATCTGCAGTAGCCCTACTCAGCAGTCCTAAAAAGGGCAGGGACAGGAAACAGGTGGAAAAGCTTAGTGCACATAGCCCTGGGTAGTGTTCAGAAAGGTCTAGCCTCTGATAACTGCCCTAAACAATGTCTAGGGCCGCTTAACATCATAAAAACAGGACCTGCAAGCATCAAAGTATTGCCAACTAACTCCACTGCATCCCCCCAAAAAATGGAACATGAAGGCTGCATGAAGTCCACAACAAAGGGAAAATTCACGTTTTCTGGAATCCACTCAAGGACTGCCAGATTGAACAGCAAGGGAATGTGGCCACTAACAAGAGAAAGAGCAGCCCATGGAAACTGACCCAGAACTGACCTAGATTTTAGAATTAGCAGACAAGGTTGTGATAGCAGTTTTCATAGACTGTATTCCATCTGCTCAAAACCTTCGGGAGAAGAGAATGTCATGCATGCCTGTATTGGCACTTAGAAGGTGCCGGGTAAGAATGTTAAGAGTTTGATCTACTTTATCTCAAAAATCTAAAATAAAAATTAGTAGAAAACCTCAAACTTATAGTAGGAAAGAAAAGAGTAATTAAACTAAAAAAAGTAATTTAAAAAAAAATTAAGCTTCCTCAGCTAGTATTATGATGCTTGGTCCTTCTGAGGAAGCTGAGGCCCATATTTGGGCCACAGCTCTCACTGTCCCTGGTACCTTGCCCAGCAGACAACAGCCCAGCATCCACCGTTACTGGGCTACATCTGTGGATCTCAGCACTTAGCCACTGTGACAGTGAGTTGACTCAAGACCAGTGTTCTCATTAAAGCAACCACTGTAAATGTTGACCCATTCTAGCCTGGCTATTTTGTTCCTGGTTATGTGACGTAAGGACTAGTAGACTTGCTCCAGCAGAGGTCCTGCCCCAGCCTGGCTGAGGAAAAAGTAAACAACAGCGTACTCTGAAGTGTCCAGTGAGGACAAGGGCTCTGATCTTTTTGACTAAGACTTGGTCTTTTGTAATATGTCAATGAATGATCTCCAAAACAAAACAAAAATAGCATCAGAGGGCATGGTGGCACAGGCCTTTAATCCCAGCACTTAGGAGGCAGAGGCAGGTGGATCTCTGAGTTCAAGGCCAGCCTGCTCTACAGTGAGTTCCAGTAGGCCAGAGAGGCCTACATAGTGAAACTCTATCTGAGATAGATAGATAGATAGATAGATAGATAGATAGATAGATAGTGAAACTCTATCTGAGATAGATAGATAGATGGATGGATGGATGGATAGACAGACAGACAGATAGATAGACAGATAGATGGATAGATAGATGGATGGATGGATAGATAGATGGATGGATGGATGGATGGATGGATGGATGGATGGATGGATAGACAGATGGACAGACGGATGGGCAGGGTGGGAGCAGTGCTGGGGAAAGAAGGCTCAGTCAGCAAAATGCCTTCTGCACAAGCATGAGCATCTGGGTTCAGTACCTAGAGTCCAGGTGTAGCAACACATACCTGTAATCCAGGGCTAAGCTCCATGTGTTGTTCCTTGGGTACTATCCACCTTGTATTTTGAGACAGAGTCTCTCAGTCTGGATCTCAGCTGATTCAGCCAGTGAGTCCCAGGGATCCATCCGTCTCCACCTCCCTAGCACCCCGCACTGGTATTGTAATCCCATCTTCAGGGTCCATGAGATCTAGATGACCCTTCTTTTTTTTTTTTTTTTTGGTTTTTCAAGACAGGGTTTCTCTGTGTAGCTTTGCGCCTTTCCTGGAACTCGCTTTGGAGACCAGGCTGGCCTCGAACTCACAGAGATCCGCCTGGCTCTGCCTCCCGAGTGCTGGGATTAAAGGCGTGCGCCACCACCGCCCGGCAGATGACCCTTCTTATAAGAAAATTTGCAGCACAAAATTCAAGACCCCTCAAAATAAAGGGGTGAGAGCCTCCACTGAAGGAGCCACAGTGAGCTTCTCTGTCCTCAAGCCTCCAAGGATCTGCATAGAAGGCGTCATCCTGAAAGGTCACCTCACATCCCCCTCTACTGCCCCTAGCAGCCACTGGGGGGCAGCCAAGAGCCATCCTGGAACAAGGGCAAGCCTACACAGCCAGCCAGGCCTCTTCACCGGTTCATGCAGTCATTTGTTGATAGAATCTCTTGTAAGATCTCTAGTGTGGGAAAGGGTCAGAGGCCAAATGAGAAGAGAGAGGAACAAGAGGACCCCAAACTCAAGATACAGTGCCTCCCTGCAGAATCTTAAGCCTCAGAGTTGAAGCTGCTTCTGCAAGGCAATCTTGTCAGGGCCAGTGAATGACCCTGGGTCTCTTCCCCAAGAACAGCTGCTCTGCCCCGCTATACCCCGAGTTTCCTATGATCTTGACTGCTAATACCATGTATGGATTGTGGGCTGGCTTTGTATTCGCTGTTACTTTTTATTTTTTTGTAAGGAGAATGCTATTTTATTCTTTTTGTTGTTTGTTTGTTTGTTTTTGGCTTTTGAAACAGGGTTTCTCTGTGTAGCCCAGGCTGTCCTGGAACTCGCTCTGCAGACCAGGCTGCCTCAAACTTACAGAGATCCTCCTGCCTCTGCCTCCCAACTGCTGGGATTAAAGGTGTGCACCACCACTACCCACCGCCATTTTATTCGTATTTATTGCATTTTGTTTATTTATTTGTGGGCATGTGTATACATGCGGTGCACATGTGACTTGGTGTGCATGTGAAGGTTCAAGGATGATTTGAGGAAGTCGATTCTCTTCTTCTACCATGTGGGACCAGAGATCTAACTCAGGACATCAGTCTTGGTAGCAGGTGCCATCATCCACTGAGCCATCTCACTGGACTTCTTCTGACTCTTTAGAAGTATCCTGGGGACTAAAGAGATGGCTCAGCAGTTAAGAGCACTGGCTGCTCTTCCAGAGGGCCTGGGTTCAATTCCCAGTTCTCACCAGCCAGCTCACAACTGTCTGTAACTACAGTTCCAGGAGATCCAACACTCTCACACAGACATACATACAGGAAAAACACTGATGCATATAAAATTAAAAATAAATGTATTGTGGGCCAGCTTTGTACTCCTGCTTTATCTTCATCCTTTTTTTTTTTCTTAAAGAACCATTCACTTTCTTTTTATGTGAATGGGTGTTTTGCCTGTATGTGTATATGTGCACCATGTGCATGTCTGGTGCCTGTAAGGGTCAGAAGAGGTCCAGTGCCAAATCCCCTGGAACCGGAGCTACAGATGGTGAGAACTGCCATGTAGGTGCTAGGAATCAAACCTGGGTCCTCTTCAGGAGCAGCCAGTGCATTCACCTACCAAATCATCTCTCCAGACCCTTTGCTTCTGCTTCTTTAGCTGTGGGACCTAGGACAAATCATATAGTTGTTTCTTCTAACTACACAAGAAGAGTGATTGTAATTAAGCCACCGTACGAGCCTGGAGTTATCTGTATTCACTTAGTATTTGCACAGTTGCTCAGGTAAGGTGTGTACCCAGAAGGTGTACCCACATTCACCACCATCATCCTTCCCACCATCACCATCATTATTGCCAATATCATAACTGCTATCATCATCACTATCAAAACCATCGCTATCACCAACATTTCATCAACCATTCATCACAGCCATCACCATCGCTATTATCACCATCTTCACCCCCATTACAATTTCATTATGATCACCATCATCAATATTGTAATTAAAAATTTGAGTGGAGCCGGGCGGTGGTGGCGCACGCCTTTAATCCCAGCACTTGGGAGGCAGAGCCAGGAGGATCTCTGTGAGTTCGAGGCCAGCCTGGACTACCAAGTGAGTTCCGGGAAAGGCGCAAAGCTACACAGAGAAACCCTGTCTCGAAAAACCAAAAAAAAAAAAAAAAAAAAAAAAAATTTGAGTGGCTAGATTCCCAATCCTGGGTTGGTTGCTCTGGAAGCCATATTGAACCTGCCTCAATATTACAGTCCTGATCTGGGTTCTGGGGTTTTATGTGCAGCAGACCCCACTGGATTCCCTATACCCATCCTGAAGGCCCACCTTACATATATGTAAACTGAGACTTTGTGGCGTAGTGAAGCGGCTGCATGTGGGCCAAGGGATTGAGCTAGGCCAGCATCAAATACAGTATATGAGAAAAGGATCTAGTTCAGGACAAGGAAACCTTCCTAACAGGCCTGGACTTGGGTCAGGGTGAGTGGCAGCTCAGGGTAAAGGACAGGCCTTCTCCTTGGGCAGGTCTGACCAGGAGCTTCTGGGGCCACTGCTTCCCAGCCATGGTAGAGACCATTTTCTGGTCTCCAGCAGTCATATAACCCTCTCCTCTAGGCATAGAGGCCTCAAGTGAGGCCTGCTAGGCAGAGCCAACGGAGGGTCAGCCCCACTATTTGGGGTCTAGAGGACCGTCAGGGCATTAGCCACAGGCCTGAGGTAATCAAGAGTGGGAATGCTGACCTGGGATCCTTTCCATTGCCTTCCATTCAGTTCCACTTTGTTCTGTTATTGTATCTGTTATGGTTAGTGTCGATTTGACATAATCTAAAACTCAGTGGGAGAAGGACTTCTGAGCACGCCTGTGGGGGATTATCTTGACTCTGTTCACTGAGGTGGGAAGACCCGTCCGCTGTGAGTGGGTCCACTCCTTCGGCAGGAGATCCTGGGCTGCGTAAAGTGGAGAAACTGAGCTGAGCACTTGCATGCACCCTTTTCATTTCTGCCTTCTGACGGTGGAGCCAATGAGACCAACGGATTCAAGCTCCAGGTGCCGGCACTTCCCCACATGATGAATCCTACCTTGAACTAGCAGCAAAACCAACCCTCCCTCCCTTCAGCTGCTTCTGTCAGAAGCATTTTATCACAGCAACGGGAAAAGAAACAGTGTCTCACTGGGTTGTTACATTTTAATTCTTCTGTAGTTCCTTCAGTGAAACCCAGCTCATCCCAACCAAGAACACAAGCCCCAGGTCTTTTACCCCAGGTCTGCGTCCTGGACACTTAGGAGGGCCTCCCTTCATGCTTCCTGCTGACCATTGCAGGTTATTGGTCTGAGTCTGGGTGGGCCCCATTCTACTCCCCAAAGGACCCCCTTCCAGGCTACAAGCGAATAGAATGAAGGAGCTGCACCCCACAATGCAGTCTGGCCTAGGCTCTCTGGGCAGGTCTTACCACAAATGTTACCTTCAGTGTGGTTGGTCTAAAAGGCAGACTGTGAAGACAGAATCCCTTCTCCTCAAATACCCCATCTTGCCTCCACCCCTTCCGTGGGGCTGGGGACCCAGTTCTGGGTCCCAGGAAAAGAGCCTTTGTACCCTGGCAGTCCACTAGAGCTCCGACACTGGCCAACACCCCCTCTAACCAAGATGCCCTGTCAGGTTCAAGGAGAAAAAGCAGTGAGGTCCTGAGGCTTGCCCAGCAACAAACTGACCTCTGACCCCAGTCATGGACAGTGCCCAGACCCAGCTTCCAGGCTGACCTCTGACCCTAACACAGATAGCCCTGACACTAGGTGTCTCCATTCCCAGGTAGAGCAGCATTGTAATGAATGTGGAGGCCTAGGGCTGGCTTGTCTCTGGACTATTGCCACACCCCAGCTCTTCCCTTGGAGACATGTGCAGCACGTATGAGCCAGCAAGCAGATCTAGGCACTGGGAAGAGCTGGGGCCTGCCCCACGTAGGGCTCCTCAAGAGCATATCCCCAGTGATGTCAGTGATTTAATCTTTTCTATGGAACAAGTTCAGTAGTTGTACGCCTGTTTCCTCTCATGTCCTCCCCTTTGGCTCTTGTGTCAAGGACTGTGTGTGTTTGTTCACTCAGATATAATCTACTTCTGGAATGTCCATATGTCTGACACACTGATTCATTGACACAGTTTCTTGGAATGGTTAACTTAAAACACACCCTTTCTCCTTCTTCCCTTGCTCTGTCCTTTATTGCCATTTTCAAATTAGCCAATGGGTGTAGATTGTGAGGCTGAACTTCAGCCAGGGACAAAAGGCCAAAGCCCCCTTACGTTAGGGTGTTGGGTGGAAGCCAGTTTAGAATAGGTGTGCTTGCTCTCCAGTTTCTGGTGGATGCTTACTCTTTTGGGCAGAAGTGAAGTTTTCCTTGCTGTGACCCTTCATTTGAGTGGTAATGTCTTGATTTGTGACCCCATTCTTACCTGTAACAACATGGGGGCTCATCTAGGATTCTAGCTCTCCTGAGGAGGTTCACAGCTCCCCTCCCAGGAAATACACCCCAGGCCTGTTTGCAGTGCTCCCTGGGCTAATGAAGAAACAAACCAGGACTGGAATCTGGAAAGATGGCCCAGAGTTTAAGAGCACTTGCTGCTCTTCTAGAGGACCCAGGTTTAGTTTCCAACACATGCACAGTCCGGAACTCCAGGTGTAGGGAATCCAACACCTCTGACCTCTACAGACAGCTACACACACAGGGGGGGAAAAAACAGATACATAAACTTGCTTTTTTCTTTCCTTTTCTATTTTTTGAGACAGGGTCTCTCTACATAGCCCTGAAACTTGCTATGTAGACCAGGCTGGCCTAGAATTTACAGAGATCCACCTGCCTCTGCCTCCTGAGTGCTGGGATCAAAGGTATGAACCATTATGCCTAGCCATAACTACTTCTTCTCCTCCTCCTCCTCCTCCTCCTCCTCCTCCTCCTCCTCCTCCTCCTCCTTCTTTTTTGAGGGGGTGGTGGTGGTTGAGACGGGTTTTCTCTGTTCCTAGCTGACTGCCCTGGAACTCATTCTGTGGACCAGGCTGGCCTCGAACTCATAGAGATCTGCCTGTCTCTGACTCCTGAGTGCTGGGATTAAAGGCATGCACTACCACCTCCCAGCCATAAACTTTTTTTTTAAAGCAGGGGGCAGTGGTGGTGCAGCCTTTAATCCCAGCACCAAAAAAAAAAAAAAAAAAAAAAAAAAAGAAGGAAAACCAGGACTGAAAGGTTCTCAGCTTCGGTGACTCAGACTCTGTGCACAGAACAAAGTTTAGAATCACTGTGGAGACAGCAAAGTGCCTTGGTGGCTGGGTCCTCTTGGAGGTTAAATGAGAATAAAGGGAAGATGTTGCTGAGCGTGGAGTCCCAATCTGAAGTTCCGTGGGTGTCCTGGTGACTCAGCCTTTGGCTGCCCTTCTAGACCTAGTCAGGGTTTGTACCAACATGCTCATTGCTAAGAAGCATTAAATACTGCCCCATAGAGAATCAGTTGGAAGTTGGGTGGTGATGGCACATGCCTTTAATCCCAGGCAGAGGAAGGTGGATCTCTGTGGGTTCAAGGCCAGCCTGGTCTACAAAACAAGTTCCTGGACAGCCAAGAACAGGTGAGGCTACACAGAGGAACCCTGTATCAAAAAACAAACAAAGGTCCTATTTCCCAAGAGGGAATTAAGTATGCTCACTGCTGGAGGGAAGGTTCCATAACTCTACTCCCCTTAAAAACAGGACAAGCCACAAAGATGAACAAGAGGATACATAAGACCCCTTGCTTGTTTTTCTTCCGCCCTCCAATCCAGACCAGATTCTTGACCCCTTAGATCTACCTGCTGTACCTGATGCAGCTGCTGTGGCTCCCTCTACCTTCTCTTCTTCAGTGGCCTGAAACCCTTCAACTCACACAGACCCTGTGTTAGACTCTGCAAACACTGGCCTCGGGTAAGCAATATGAGAAAGAAATTGAGAATCTCTCATTCTAGGTAGCCGAAGAAATATGACAACCTGAGTCCCTTCTCCAACTTAGGTACCCACTCAGAAAAGCTCCCCCAGGAAGAGGAGGGACTGGGTTTGTGAATGTTCTGCTCACTGGATGAAGTCTGAGACAACTCAGAGCCAAACCAGATCCCACGTCACGTCCCACGTCACAAAAACCTCTAAGTTAATGGAGGACACTGAAGAAGGCCTGCTAAAGCCCGGCATTGTGGCGCACACTTTAAATCTCAGCACTCGGGAGGCAGAGGCAGGCGGATCTCTGTGAGTTCGAGGCCAGCCTGGTCTACAGAGTGAGTTCCAGGACAGCCAGGGCTACACACAGAAACCCTGTCTCAAAAGAAAAGAAAAGAAAAAAAAAGAAAAAAAGGAGGAGAAGGAGAATGCCTTTATTATTGCCTATTACTGCCTTGTAATGAGCCCTACTCAGAAAGGCCATTTCATTTATTTGTCAGTGTTAATAGAAGGACAGCACTTGGTGGCCCAACACAAGAACACAGAGGACACTGACAACCTGTGGCATACTATCCAAACACTCAAACCATTACTCTGGTGCTGTGAGAACCAAAGTTACATTTTAAGTCTTAATAATTCATACTCAGCCTCTGAGTTGGTTATTTGGGACCGGGTGGTTGGGACATGGAAACGTCCAGTTACACTAAACATTCAAATAAATGGGCCTATGGGGGCCATCCTTATTCAAGCCACCACAAAGAGAAAGGATGAATCAAGTTCTAAAAAGACATTTGGCCAAATTAATACTTGAAACAAAATAACCCTGACAATATGTCTCCCCATTGCCCTCCTAAAACTCAGGGCTGCCCCTTGAAGGGACACAGAACTACCACCATATGAGATGCTCTACCATTTACCCTACTGAATCCTACTGGAGGTTCCCATCCTGTAAAGCCAAGGACTGGTTCCTCATGGACTATGAACTTGGGTTGTTTTCTGCTCTGCCCTGTTGGGTAGCAGAGGCTATTAGCCCAGGCACCACTGCTCAAGTTTACTGCCCAGAAACATGAGCCAGACAACTATGTCCTAATCAAGTTCTGGAGAGAAGGAAATCAAACCATCTGGGAAGGACCCAACCAAGTCCCACTCTCTACTGAAAGGCCACTCGTACTATGCAAGGGACTGGACACATACATTCAGATGAAGAAGTCACTTGTAATTAGGAGATGTCCACTGAATCTGACCAAACTCATTTGAGCATGCAGTCCTTAAAACCAAGCCTCAAGAAACAGACAACACCCCTCACCAAGCCACCCTACACTTTAGTCCCAGTGTTCTCCACCTGCTGCCATGTACACGTATGTGTCATGTGTGCCATTATAATGTAGGTTTTGTGTTCCTCGTCCTCTCTTGCTGCCTTAATTCCCTGTGCTATTTTAAACTCAGGATACTCCAAAAGACAAAACTATTAACTTGATTGTCATGGGCTCACTTTTAAAAGACATTAATGAGACTTTTGTTTCCTATGCAGGCAACTAATAGTATTTTTTACTATTAATGTAACCACAGCCAGACATACTTATGTCTACCCAATTTGATGCATGCTTGGTTATACCCTGTGGGAATATGCAAAGCCAAAGACAGCTCTCGGGGATGGATAAGCACTTTGTCCCTTCAGAGCTGAAGAAACCAAAATTAAATACAGTGCTTTAAAGAGCTCATAATGATGGGCGGTGGTGGTGCACGCCTTTAATCCCAGCACTTGGGAGGCAGAGGCAGGCAGATCTCTGTAAGTTCTAGGCCAGACTGGTCTACAGAGTGAGTTCCAGGAAAGGCGCAAAGCTACACAGAGAAACCCTGTCTCGAAAAACCAAAAACAAACAAACAAACAAAATAAATAAATTAAATTAAAAAAAAAAAAGGTCATAATGATTAAAGTGACATTTGGTGGACCACTCAGTATTAGGGATGGACTTACAACCCACCCTCTGTAAATGCTATGAAAACCATAAAGGAGGGCTGGAGAGATGGCTCAGTGGTTAAGAGCACTGAGTGCTCTCTCAGAGGTCCTGAGTTCGATTCCCAGCAACCACGTGGTGGCTCACAACCACCTATAATGAGATCTGGTGTCCTCTTCTGGCATGCAGGGACACATGCAGGCAGAACTCTGTATATATAAAAAAATAAGATAAAATAAAGGAAAAGTTACAGGTAATAAACAAGTCTAGTCCTCCAAATTGACAGTGTCACCCATTTACCCACAGTAACGGTAAGTCCCACACCAAGAATCTTCAATATTCAGACCTTAGGGACTAGAGGCAAATGTAAGAGGAGTAGATCCCATAGGAAAATCTACCCTGAGACTGGGAGACATGCCCCAGATCACTTCTAACAAGTCTTTTTTTATATACACATATATGTTTTCTTGATTCAGTAGATTTCACATCATGCATCCTGACCCCACCTATCTCCCTATCCCCCCACATCTGCTCTCTTCTCTTGTAACCTCCCCTCTCTAAACACAACAAAATTTAAGAGAAAAACCAAAAGGCAAACAAAATGAAACAAACAGAAACAAAAACAAAAAACAAAAGATTATACACATGAATGTTTTTTTTTTTTTTTTTTTTAAAGATTTTATTTATTTATTATGTATACGATGTTCTGCCTGCATGTATGTCTGCAGGCCAGAAGAGGGCACCAGATCTCATTACAGATGGTTGTGAGCCACCATGTGGTTGCTGGGAATTGAACTCAGGACCTCTGGAAGAGCAGCCAGTGCTCTTAACCTCTGAGCCATCTCTCCAGCCCATGAATGTTTTTCAAGAGACTTCCAAAACATGCAGCTTGACCATGTTGTCCTTGTTTAACCTTTAGGACTGTAGAGTCCCTATTACAAAGAGGCACTCTAATAAATCTTTAAGTCATGTCTGTTGGGGAATATTATTTTAAGGTATGTTACTTTTGTTTATGTTGCATTTGTTTAACTCTGTGAAGCTGTGTTACTTTGCCTGTCTAGAACACCTGATGGTCTAATAAAGAGCTGATGGTAACCCAAATCCAGAAGGACAAACATGGTATGTACTCACTCATAAGTGGATACTAGATATAAAGCAAAGAACAATCAGACTGCAACCCACAGAACCAGGGAGGCTATATAGCAGGGGGGACCCTAGGATAACAGTGGCTTATAATAAGTTTTGGTTTTACTCAATTACCGGGCAAGCCTCAATGAAATATTTCACTATTAGGATAAGAATTTATACTGTATCAAGCTGATAATAGAAAAATAAATAAATAAATAAAAATGAAAATAAGTAAATAAGAAAAAAAGAGTTCAACAGCCAATAGCAAGGCAGGAGTAAGGATAGGTGGGGCTAGCAGGCAGAAAGAAAGAATAGAAGGAGAAATCTAGGAAAGAAGAAGTAGTCAGAGGAGGAGGAGGACTCCAGGGGCCAGCTACACAGCAAGCCATGGAGTAAGAAACAAAGAAATACAGGAATAGAAATGGAAAAGCCCGGAGACAAAAGGTAGGTTTGAGATAGGTTTGGATTTGAGCAAGGGGATAATAAGGACATGTGTTGTTTGTTTTTGCTCTTTTGGAGGGCCCCACCACCCAGCTCCCAAATAAATCACTCACAGAGGCTTATTCTTAATTATAAATGGCCTATAAATTATAAACAAAAGTAAAATTTCCATCACTTACACCCAAAAATTCTCCTAAGGACCAATACCCCAAGTTAACCATAGTGGAAGCCAAAGACTTAAGACAGACCTTTAGCACTGAGACAGGATGCAGAGACACAAATCCTTGGTTAGAATGTATAAAATAGTCTATACACTTGATAAGAATGGTTATTATGTGTGTGTGGCTGGATGGCCCAAGACTCAAATAGTCCCACTCTTGTTGGGGTGGTCCTTCAATCCAAACGGCATGCATTGTATGATGTTCCTCCTCCAAGACTGAGGGGCCTGAAGCGATGTGTCCTGTCGCACCTGACCCTGCTGTTTCCCCATCAAAGTCACGGGGCCCTGGCTACCATAAAGCCCCTACCCCTGGAGTAATTGCATCTCGTGCCTCTCTAGTTGGGAAGAGCAATTAACTCCAGTGGGCGATGTAATGGGGTGCCATGAAGGTCAGTCTTTTAAAGAGATGACCAGTCAGCTCTGGTAGTCACACCATCAGATATCTGGTGACATTATGGAGGACCCTTATTTGAAGTCCTACCAGTGGATCAGAGTGACTTGTATTTTAGTCCAACTGGTCACCTCTTTCAGGATGACATTTAGTGTTCCCACCTGCCTTAAGGCCCCTCTTGCAAGAAGAGGGGGCTGTTAAGTCCAGGAGACCCCATATTTATATAGATGGTATAGAAGTGTCCCAGGGAGCCCCAAATTAATTATTTTAATTAATTAACATTGAAACCAAATAGCAACCAGTTTCAAGTCAGCCTTGTTCTGGTGGTCAATAGCTAATAAAAATGTAGATTGTAAACCAGGTGGCGGTGGCACACGCCTTTAATCCCAGCACTGGAGAGGCAGAGCCAGGTGGATCTCTGTGAGTTCCAGGCCAGCCTGGTCTACAGAGCGAGATCCAGGACAGTCACCAAAACTACATAGAGAAACCCTGTCTCTAAAAACAAAAACAAAAACAAAAAAATGTAGATTGTAGTGTTTGCTTTGGCATATATATTAAAATTGGAATGATATGGAGAAGGTTAGTATGGCCCCTGAGCAAGGATGACACACAATTCGTGGAGTTCCAAATTTTTTTCCTCCAACGTCTCTGATTCAGTTTCTGCCTCCAGGTTCCTGCCCTGAGTTCCTGCCTTGGTTTCCCTGATGATGGACTGTAACCAGTAAGCCAAATAAAACCTTCCCTTCCCTCCCCAAAACTGTGGACTATAGAAACTAGCCTAGTATAATTTAAAAAAAGATGGCTTAACTATACTGGAGGTGCTTTCAAAGGCACAGCTGAACTACTGACCCTATACAAATGGATTAGGAAAATAGATTGGCAATTAACATGATTTTAGCCGAAAAAGGTGGAGTCTGTATATGTGAAGAGGACAGTGCTGCGCATTCATTCCAAACAATGTTGCTCCACATGGGACTGTTATCAGGGATCTCCAAGTCTTGATGTTCTCCCTAATGAAGAAGCCAAAAATTTAGGAATAGACAACCTCTTTACCAACTTAATGGAACAATGGTTTGGAAAATGGAACAATGACCTTAGCTTTAACATCCATAATTATAATAGTTGGAGTCATGATTCCAGTAGGTTGTTGTAGACAACCTTGTGTTTGAGGTCTAGTCCCAAGGCTAATAAGAACAGCTAGTGCTGAAAAGCTGCCACTCAGCACCCACACAGACCTTTCTGTTAGATGCCCAGGGGAGAGAGGTCCAGTTAACAGAATTTGAAGAAGCGAATATATAACAAAACAGGGGTAGGGGGTTGTGAAAGATTTAATCTTTTTTATCAAACAAGTTTAGTAGTCATATGCCTGTTTCCTCTCAGGTCCTCCTCTTTTGCTACTCTGTTAAGGACTGTGTGTTTGTTTAGCCAGATGTAATCTGCTTCTTGGAATGTCCATATGTCTGACACCCTGACTCATTGCCACAACTTCCTGGAATGGTTATCTGTTAAAATTTACCCCTTCAGGCTGGAGAAATGGCTCAGCAGTTAAAAGCACTAGCTGCTCTTCCGGAGGACCTGAGTTTGGTTCTTAGCACCCACATGGTGGCTTACAATGGTCTAAAACTCCAGTTCCATAGGGTTTAATGACCTCTTCTGGCATCCATGGACACCAGGCATGCATATGGTTCACAGACATACATACAGGCAAAACACCTGTACACATAAAACAATAATTTAAAAAGCATTTTACAGCCCATCCCTTCTCTCTGTTTTTTTTCAAACCGGCCAATCAGGTGTAAATTGTGAGGCTGACTCAGCCAGTGAGGAGCAGCCAAGTGCCCCTTGAGTTAGGGACAAAAGGCTGACACCGTTTGGGGTGGTCATGCCTGGTTTCCGGCTTTGGGCAGCTCTGCACTCTCCTGTGCAGAAGGAAAGTTTTGCTTTGTCAAACCACCTTTATTTTAGTTATGGATTGACTGTTGGTTTGTCTGTGTAACAACACTGGCTGTCCTGGAACTCACTTTGTAGACCAGGCTGGCCTTGAATTCACAGAGTTCCACCTGCCTCTGCCTCCCAGCACTGGAATTAAGGGCGTGTGCCACCACACCCAGCTTTTATTTTGGTTTTTGAGACAGGCTTTCTCTGTGTAGCAGCCCTGGCCGTCCTGGAACTTGCTCTGTAGACCAGACACTTTCTTGGACTCATAGATCTGCCTTCTTCTGCCTCCCAAGTGCTGAGATTAAAGGTGTGTGCCAACATGCTGGGCTCCAAAACATGTTAATTTGAGTGGCGATTTCTTGGTTTGTCTTGTCTCTATCAACAGTATTCTGGATGTGTAGGTCTACATGGTGTCTCGACCCTAGCCTGACACCTGGGAGAGTTCCTGCAAAGGTTCCAAGAGAAACGTTTTGTTTCTGTTCTTTTTTTTTTTTTTAACCTTTATTTATTTTATGTGTATAGGTGTTTTGTCTGTGTGTATGTACAAGCACATGTAGTGCCTGCCGAGGCCAGAACAAGGCATCGGATCCCCTGGGAACAGAGTTACAGACAGTTGTGAGCCATCATATGGGTGCTGGGAATCGAACCCGGGTCCTCTAGAAGAGCAACTAGTGCTCTTAACTGTTGAGCCATCACTCCAGTGCCCTGTTTTTTGTTGTTTTGTTTCTGTGAAAGGTGGCTAGACATCCAAGAGCTAATGATACATAAACACTCCCCGATTTGTGAAATTTTCCTGTACTTGCCTGTTTCTTCCACCCTCCCCTTGCACCCATCACAAATTAGCCAGTTGAGTTAGATTGTGAGCTCAAGCTCCTACCAATGAAATGAGACACAGTCACACTACCTGCCTTAGCATTAAAACCAAGTGAGCTCCTGCCCCAGTGTGCTTGCCAGCCAGGTGACTTGTGGCACACCCTCACTGCAAAAAATGCCTCACTTTTTCTTTGTGTGTCATTGTGCCACACTGAGAATATTCTTTTCTAACAGTCCTGAGAAAATACAGAGTTAGATCCCATTTTACAAGCCAGGATAACAAAGCTGAGTGGGAGGAAGTCGGTCCTACAGAGTCAGAAGCTGGTCCCCGAGGGCCCAGGCATGGCACTGCTCAGCCTAGAGCAGTAGTAACAGGGCGATTCAGAATTCAGGGACCTTGTCTGCCAGTGACGTGTGGTGCCCAGCTGAGAACCTGGGTGGACTACAGGGGAAGCACTCGCCTTCCCAAGGCCCATTCCATCAAAGAGTAACTGTCATCTAGGTGTGTTGGTAGCTGCCAAAACAAGCCTGAGGCCAAGGTCTGCTGGTGGAAAGAGACAATCCAAATTCCTGCCCAGGTGAGTTGCCTGGGCTTGTCTCTCTCAGTCTGGCGCCATAGCTCCTGGAGGCTTTTACCCCACCAGCTTTACAGATCTCTCTGGAATGTTCTTAGAACCCAAGGAAAAGCTGCCAGAGCGTCAAGGCCCTGCAGGAAGATTCAGAACTTTCCTGTGCTATGCCCTCCTGAATGGCCTGCAGCAGAGAAGACCTCAGCAGGGTTGAAGGCTGTCCTGAGTCCTTGGTAACAGTAGACCAAGCTTTCCACCTAGCCTCTTGAGTGTCAGTCCCTGAGGGTGGAGCTGTGTAGGAAAGCAGGGCCCTGGATGAGCTCTGCTTCTGGCTAGCCACTGCAGTATGACCTGGCTATGCTGCTGCAGCCAAGACCTGTGCACTGCAGGGCCTTCATCCAGGTCCATGAAGGCCTCCGTCTGATCACCCACCATGCTCCCTGTGTCCCCATCACCTTGTGTTCCTCCTTGGTCTGCTGTTTCTTGTAGGCACTTTGCCTACTCCCTTTGTGAAAACCTCATGGCCACAAAGCCTCTGGGCAGTGTTCTTCACTGTATAATGAAGCCTGGATACCCCCTGCCCTGCCCTGTCCTGCCCCAGGCCTAGCCAAGAAGAAACTGGGTTGTGCTTGGGTTGAGCCTCTAGCCTTACTCCTACTTCACCATCTGTCTGGCCTGGGCTCTGGGCAGCCCCTGCTGGGCCTGGGCTCTGGGCAGCCCCTGCTGGGCCTGGGCTCTGGGCAGCCCCTGCTGGGCCTGGGCTCTGGGCAGCCCCTGCTGGGCCTGGGCTCTGGGCAGCCCCTGCTGGGCCTGGGCTCTGGGCAGCCCCTGCTGGGCCTGGGCTCTGGGCAGCCCCGGCTGTCTGGCCCCCATCCCCAGCTCTAGTTCCAGGACTACCTGAACCATAGTTCCACCGCTCTGGGCATTTGTTCAGTCCACAAGTACTCAACAAGTACCTGTTTGCCCAGGCCTGTGAGGGGCAGGGAAGGACAGGTGGCAGTTCAAGAGAGCCACAGAGGTTTCCTACAGGACAAGCGGCAGTATGGGAGACATTTGTGGTCCTCACAACTAGGGACAAGCACAAGGGCCCTTTTGTAGAGGCCATGATGGTTGCTCATAGCCACAGGGCACAGGCCACTCACTGTGGACCTCTGACCAACCCAAGCAGTCAACAATGCCTACTGGACAGGTTTTGTTTTCATCTAGGGGTGCTGGGGATGAAACTCAGGGCACCCTGCATTTGGGGTCAACATTTATTATTGGGTTGAAATCATACCCGGTAGTGGGTGGTTGCAGTAAGGGAGACAGTTCCAAAAAGGCGCTCCACGGCTGGCATGGTGAGGAAGGCCTCTTAGAGAAGTGGACTCTGCTTGCACGTGCTGTGCAGACCTGAGTTAGTCTTGTCCCTCCCACCGTAAGACAGGCCGAGCATGCTGGTGCCACTATGCACAGAGACAGAGCTCAGCAGGCTCCCAGTGGTGCCAGGCCTGGGGGAATTCCAGAGAGAGGCCCACTGCATTCCTCCACCTGGGTGGGCAGGGGCGGGGGCTCTTGCATTCCTAGTAGACAGGGGCCCTCAGCCTGCGCCAGCATCAGAAGGGACCCAGATAACCTCTGCTCAGACTCAGCTCAGTGGAGTTGGGTCCCCACCACACCTAGAGGACTGGGAAGAGGCCAGGCTACTAGGTCAGGGCTTTTCCAGCCTGGTGGGCAGGGTGGAGCGGAAGTGTGGGTGGGTGGGGGGAGGGAGGGGACCACAGTGTCACTGGTATCTGGAGTCAAATGACCACCTGCAGCAGTCACAGGTGGCTTCTCTGATGCAGTCTGTTCTATGAAACAGGTTTAGAGCTGCTTACTCCAGGTGACAGGGTCCCATCCGACCATATATACAGGTCTGCCGAGGCCAGGAAGTGGCCCCTGGCTCCATGCACAGAGGTGGCTCCGGGACTGGGCCAGAGGGCCCAAGGCAGATGGTGGCAAAGGGGGAAGACAGCTCATCACTGAGTCCAAAGGTTCCAGGGGCCATGTCTAACCTGGCAGCACAGCAAGGCCGGGCAGAGCTAGGGTCAAGGCACCACTAACAACTAGGTGTCTGGGTCCTCCTTCAGGAGGCCGGACAGTGGCCCCTCCCTCCTCCTGCAGGACTGTTGCCGGGGTTCTGAGAGAAAGCCCTCAGAGGACAGGAATATCCCCTCAGCTTGGCTGCTGGGACAGCATACAGAAGACCCCTGGAAAGAATAATCTTGCACTTACAATGAAACCTTCCCCCCTCCCCCCAGCATGCAGGAGCCTCTAAGTCTCCATGTGTTTACATTC